TGTTGTTGATGATATATATATATATTTGCATTTTTTGAAATTGTTAACAATTTTATGTTATTTGTTTTGTATTGATTAATTTCAAGTTTGGCCTATGTAGATACCATCTGTTTTTCTTTTGTAGGCAAATGAAGCAATGCTGTAGAGTTCTCTTTAAAGGTTTTGTTTATCATATAAATTTTTATGGTTTCAGATAAGTCGAGACTGCCAAGAGTTGGAGCCTTTTATTGGTGAGCAGTTGGCTTCTCTTCTTTATCTTGAAACAGACAGCGAACTCATGGTATGCTTCAGTAGGTCACATCCAATAAACTTTCCCTTTATTCTGCATTCTGATGGTCTGTCCTATTTTGTTCTTTTTCAATTTTACTTTTTATAATTTATGATTTACAGTTCCATTATCATGTTTCTTGTAAACTGCCATCAAGCATTTAAAAGCTTAGATGCGGGAATTCACAATTCATAATTTAAAGATATGTTAATTAGATTCAAAACTTATTCTTTTAATACTAACGTGCTCTGTGCTATTGAAATTAAGTTTACCCCTGCATTTACTTTTTCTTTTTTTACGTGTCAAAGCATTTGGCAAAAAAATTGAAGATTTATATTTGTTTTTTTGATTCATTCTCTAGTAGTTTGGGATCGATTCAAGGTTTCACTGACAATGTTATATTTTTTTGTGACTTGTTATCCAAATGTATTCAACAACATTCTCGCTAAGTTGACGAGCTTAAACAACGTTTGTTTCATGATTTTAAGCTATTGACGAGGCATTTAAAAGCTGTTTTCTATTTTATCTTTTAATTTGGTGAATCAGTTAAATTATAAATCACCTTTGTCTGAACTTTACTTTTTCAATTTTTTTTGTTGAACATGATTCTACTTCCAGTTTATTGGATTCTACAAGGATCTTTCACTCTTGATGTAGCAAAAGTTCGGTTGATTAATTGATGAATTTCAAATGTTGTTTATTGTTTACACAAATTTATTCAAAAAGACTAATATTATATTAGGTTTTTTTTTGGTGGAAATGGAGTTTAAGTTTGTGGTGAACTGCTTCACATTAGTTGTAATTGCTTTAAATTTTTGGATGTATTTTTTATTCTTCCAATTTTGTGATTTATGATATTGGTTTTTTATTTCTATTTCTGGGTTTGTTTTTTGAAACTATTTGTTGTCCATGTTATATTCATTTATAAATAGCTATTTTGTTAACAGCATTGCTTTTATACCAATACAAATTAGATACGTTTGATTGATTATTGATCATACTGATGAAATAAGTAAATTAATGCTATTACTTATTGCATTGTCCTGATTTTACAACTTCGCCATTTGCTTCAATTGGGCTATCATAATACTTTTTGTTTCTTTCTTAGTCCCACATAGCATGCAGTCAGAGCTTCTTTAAGTCGTTTTAAAAGGAACTAGTGACATGCTTAGGAAAACTTTTGTTGTCTTGTTTATTCAGCTGCCTTTGGGGCTTTATAATATTTATAATCCATTGAAGGATAGAAGATTTACCAATATATTAGACAACTAAAGGCCCTATTGAAGGAAGAATTAAAAAGGAAAAAAAGTGTGAAGCAACCACTTCGTTTAGTGCTTTTGCTTTTAAAATCCTACTAGAGGTTTAAATTATTGCTTTCCCCACCCAAAAAAAAAAGGGTGGAAGATTGGCAAACTAAAGATACCATTGTCTGAACATATGTAAAAATAGTTGTACATTTGACTACAAAAGAGAACTTTTTTGAGAGATTATGGTATTGTGGCTATGTTTTGGGAGAAGAATGTAGAGTTTAGAAGGATGAGCATAATGTGAGCAAGACTTGTGAGCACATATGTATTTATCATCTTGTGTAACGCTATAGGAGAATGACAATTTATATATTTCAAGGAGAATGACAATTTATAGTGTGGGCTACAAATAGTTAGGAAAATGATGGTGACCATCTAAACAACTTTTTGGATATTTTTTTAATTTCATGTGTACAGTTAGTTTACTTATGTTGCCATTCTGTGCCACTCCATCTTATTATAATGTCATTCAGCATTCTTATTTTAATTCTTTAGTGCAAATGACTCCTTGAGGGTAAATTTCTCACTTAGGTGCAAGGAAATTATTATAAGTAGCCTTTAATGTCATTTGAAATTGAGATTGATGAATTAGTATTTTACAGATACGCGCTAATGCTGTCATATTTTTATCTCCAATGTTTAGAGAGCTATGTTGGATAACCTATCTTTTAATTGATTCAGCAAAATTAGAGCTTACTTCTATCTTTCCCCTTTTCATCCTATGTCTTTCTTTTGCTCTTGTTCATTGTATTCTCTGCTAATGGTGATGATAATGTGCCTAATGTTGTTGATGTTCATATTTCCGCTACTTTACGACATGGTTGAATGTGGCAACATGACAAAATATTGAACTATGATTTTTGCTCCATAATAATTGACATTGAGATGCATTGTGAAAATTGAAAGCATTTGAACTTCACTTGTTTGCAAAATAGATTTTGTTGATGTGCCTAGAATGCCAAAATTATTAAAAAGCCCGCTATGATTGATTTGATCTAGTATAAAGACAATGTTGTACATGGAATGCAGCATAATGCAAATTTGATTTAAATAGCTAAAATCACAATCAAAATTACTCAAATTTCATCCGTTTGTAAAATAGACAGTTGATGCATCCAGAGTTTTGAAATTTTTAAGGGCCCTTTGTGATTGATTTTATTATGAATGCGACATTTCACAAATTGGTTTAGAGTTTTTTTTTATCACATTCAAATTCACTCAAATATCGTCTGTTACATGATGAATTGCACCGATGCATTTTGAACGTCAAAATTAGCTAAATATAAATATCAATATTGCCTAGATTGTGAAAAAAAAAATTGTCTTTGAGCAAGCAACAATATACACGAAACAACGAAGAAGTCTATGAGTGAGTCGGAACAAACCCACATATATAATTCATTAAGAAAGTTCCCCTTCCCAAATCATGAATTTTATATGTAGCCTTTTATGAGAACCCCTTCTTTCAAACCTTCACATGTTTGCTCTTCCAATCAAGCTGCACACCTTCTCCACTTGCATACTACCTGTTCACTCCAACACCTACATCGCTTGCATCTCATGCAGGCTTCCCTTTTGACATCTTGAGCACCCTAGCTCTCACTATCCTCTCTCCATATCTCCAAAACTCCATGCAAAAGGCACTTGAAGCCCCATTCACATGCCATCACCATATTTTTGCTCGTCCTCGCCACACAATTCCAGTGATGCTATTCTCCTCTCTATGTTTCTTTATCTCTCACTCGCTCTACCTAATTCCGAAACCCAAGCCAGCAATGACCAACCCATTTTGATATTCTAAGCCATTGAGCACCACAACCAACTTTCCATTTCCACCTTTTTTTTCTGTATTTCTCCCTTTTTTTTTCCAATTTCTATAAGTTGAAAAAACACAACCCCATTGGCATGATCAAAAGAGTCAACTATTTGTTAGTCCTTGGGAATATTGAGAACTCACTGCTAAGCTTATGTTAAAAGAAAGCTCTTTAATCAAGCATACCCAGTCAAACAAGCCAAATTGCTTGAAGTTGCTAATGCAGTTCACTGAAATATTAAAGTTGCTCACCCAAGCATCAAAGTTGATCACTTAAGGAACTCAACCTTCAGTGCCGAATTGGTCAAATTGTTCTAGCAGCACGCCACTGCAATAGGTTAGTGCTCGATATGCTTTGGTGAAGTTGGCTAACAACTTCATTGGGATTTGTCCCATATGTAGAAATTAACATATTTTCTTTAAGTTATTAAACAACTATAAACTAGGCAATTCATTTTTTAACAAGCATTTATTAAGCCTTCTTATATAATTTTTAGTTTTATACCTAAATGTAGTTTTTCTTATAGTGTTGTACCTTGACCCTAACATACGAATAAAAATTCAGAGGGTGAAGCAGAGACGCATGAAATCATCAGCTATTGTTTCATACTGTCACCAACAGGTGACTTAATCTAATGGAGGAAAGACTCACTACAATGATTTTGGGTGTTTTAGAGTGTATTCAAAGAACTACTCGTATATAGAAATTTTAAATGATGGTCCTCAGATTCTATAAGTAGAAATTTTATTCACTAACAATCATCAAAGCCAGGTGCACTAACTTCAACTTTTGGTAAGGATGCGATTTATTTTTCTGAAAACAATGCAGAAAAAACCCCACCTTATAGGGCCTAGAACCATCAAGCAAAATTGACTACCACATTGTTTAAAAAAATTTTTAAGGTAGAAAGACCCAGTGAAGTCAAAAGTTTCACATATATATTTATAAGGGAGAATGGATCCAACCAACCATCCTGCCTACTTTGAGTTAGTCACCTCATTAATGAATATTAATGATGCTTTAAGATGATTATTGTTTACAACGTTCAATGAGTTTCTATTTCAATGATTTTTTTCCTTCGCTATGAAACATTACCTTCTTTGCCGAATTCATAAAACAATTCATCACCAGTTCCCAAAAGCCACTAAAATTTCTCAAACTCTCTTTTTAATATTTGAAAGTCTATCAAATCCTCTGTGTTATTTGTTCACTCGCTTTTAGCATGAATTATTGATGCCAAAGATTTGGAATCAATATTCACCTCATTTGCATTTACACAAGTTGCAAGAGAGAGAGTGTTCAAATATGCACTCGGATTGAAGCAATTGAAGGCTTTGGTAGAAACTCAACAACAATCATGTAAATGCAGAAGAATACAATAATGCGGAAACTTTAGGAACTCGTTGACTTTTGATCCTCTAGCTAGAGATAGGTCACCAATAGTTAATCGATAACTCACTTACACCCCTTTGCATGCATCTTTTACAAAGGTAGTTTATTCCATCAAAGATAAAAGAATGCTTTTTTCGGCCACCTCCACTATATGCACAATTTCATATGCAGGACCCATCAAAATATCTCATTTTTCACAAGGATCACGCCTACGAAATGGAAGAGCGCTGACATCTTCAAAAATTAGTCGAAGAACTTATAAAAGTGAGGAAGCTCAAGCTGAGTTGCGCTTGCCTATCCCGAATGTCAACCATATAGTAAAAATGTGAGAAGAAATGAACCAACCTTGACACAAATCATACAAATAACTGTAAATATTCCCTCAACAAAAAAGGTTGGTAATATGGCTTTAGCTTGAAAGGGTAGTCTATGGTTTAAAAACTTAATATACTTTGCATATTTAAGTATTAGCGAATTTTAAAAAATTATTTAATTCCTTTGAAGTTTATAAATTTAATGAAAATGAAACAAGGTTCGGTACTTTTAAATGAAATCAGAGATTTTGGCTTACTTATTAGTTTTGTGAACTTGGTACATAGTATTTAACAATACTCATGGAACTCAATACTCATCCATGTAGGATTTGGCGAAAGTGTAAATCATCAAATACATAAAAATTTTGAATTTGACCAGACATCAAATTTGAAACTCTACGTATTGATGGCTTAGATTAAAAATCAGAAAAATATGAATCCTTAATACTACTAAGCTAGTTAAGGGAGAATAAATTAACTTGTGCTTGAGATTATTTTGATCACAGTTTAGGGCAATGTGGAATTTCGTGAGACGGCCCTTTGCAAGGGGGCCAAGTCCCTCGGAAGGGAAGTCTGCATTTAATGAATTTTCCCCAATACTTATATAAAATGAGTGTAGTTCTCTCAAATTGCATTTTTAACAACTCATCATTCGCTAAAATTTAAAATCGGCTATTAATTTGTTGAACGAATGATTTGCTATTCAGGTACTTTTTGCTTTTTCGCAAATTTGCATGAGTCAATTATCACACTTAAATTTAAGTATCGAGAGAACTATCGGCCAAACCCTAGAACTCAGACTTAAATGTGGTGATGTCAGTGAATTATTTTGTTGGGTATAGTTTTTCTTGTTGATACTTGACTTAAAGGTCCTTAGTTGTGTTCATAATTTTTATTTCTATAATGATTTTAGTAGTATATTATGTAATATTTCTTTTGATCTGCATGCCTTTATTAATTAAAGTGCATGCCTTATTTGCACACTTTGCTCTTCGAAGTGAAAAGATCCGTCTTCGTGTTGAATTGTAGTTTACTTTTCAAGAATTTTAGTTATTTAGTCTAACTTCCCAGCATTAGGCACTAACCATCCTGCTTTAGTTTTTGTCTGTTATGGCTATCATGTAATCTTTCTGAGTTTTTTTTCATTGTGATTACTTTGAATACGGTTGAATTCTACATTACTGGTTGCCCGGACTTTTTTTAGTTTGTTATTGCCTGTGATTATCTGTCAAACTTACTGATTTTGTTATTCCTTTTTACTTGTTCATTTAAATTTGAGTGTCTTGCTGTTAGTTTAGTAGAAAACCGTTAATCATAACAATTTGAAATTATTCTTTTTATTTTTAAGCATTTTCATATTGTTGAACATATTTTGATCAACCAACTGTTGTCATGGTTGATCATATGTATATCAACTGGTTAGTGAGCCACTTGATATAAGTTTTTGTTTTAACAGCTCCTGTTTATGATGTATTTGAATGTCAATTCATATTACTGTATTTGAGTTCCGGGTTTGTTAATAACTTCTTACATTTAAACAGAAATAGTGAACAGCTATAAATAATTAAGGATTTTAGCCACTGTTTTAGTAAACATAGAACAACAACAACAACAACAACAACAAAGCCTTAATCCCACTACGTGGGGTCGGCTACATGAATCATTTTTCTCCATTGCATTCTATTTAGTATCATATTTTCATTTAGTTCTAATGTTCTAATAAATTAAGATCATGTTTTAGTAAACATACATAACAATAAATTTTGTTTGCACAAAACATGAACATATTATACAAAGATTCATTTATGCTTTATGCCTTAGAAAGAGGAATTCAATATCTCATGCATTTTTAAATTAATTAATTAATTAATTAATTTTCTAAATATTTGAGTTTTCATGGGCTATTTACCTTTATCAACTCATAAAATTACCAAACTTTTTTTTCCAAGATCTTTTGGGGTTTCTACTTATGTTTTACCTCTGACTGATATCGCATTGTCTCAAGCATTTAGTTCTACTGCAAAATAGTAATAGGTTTGGAGAATACATTATACCGTTTATTTTCTTGTGCATCTTATAATGTTCTTTCTTGATATATTCTTAATAAGCAACGTCTTTTTTTCCTTGAGAAGTTGCCAACTTTTCAATGCCACTATATTCCTGCTATTAGATTTCACAAAATATTGATGTTGAAAGTGAATTATCGTCCAGCAAATGCTGATTGCTGCGGAATCTAAACGTGAGGAAGAAAAAGCAAAGGGTGCCAGCAACACAGACGATGCAACTGAAAATCCAGATATTGTATTGTTTGATGACAATGAAGAAGAGGAGGAAGATGAGAGTGACGAAGAGGATGACAGTACAGTTAGTGCATATGGAAGAGGAAGAGGAAGAGGGATGTTTTGGCAACCTCCAATTCAACTAGCACGTGGAGGCAGGCCAGTTCTTGGCGTCCGAGGTTTTCCTCCCATGATGATGGGCGTAGATGGCTATGGTTATGGAACTGTTGGTCCTGAGGGCTTCGCTCCACCAGATCTTTTCGGAGGACCTCCCAGGATTTTCCCTACTTATGGCGGCCCGAGATTTTCTGGCGACTTCTCTGGAGCTGGTCCTATGCCTGGGTTAGTCTTTCCTGGTCGTCCACCCCAGTCTGGCATTTTCCCTATGGGTGGACTGGGGATGATGATGGGTTCCAGCCGAGCATTCATGGGCGGAATACCAATAGCAGGAGTTGGAAGATCCAATCGTCCCATTGGCATCTCACCTTTCCTCCATCCACCTCCACCTCTACCAAGCAACTGGGCTTCAAAGCGGGAGCAAAGAAGACCTGCAAACGAAAGATATGAATCTGGATCTGATCAAGGACACAGGGGTCAGGAGACAGCTGGTCAAGATGATGAGATGGGGTATCAACAAGGATCAAGGGCTCATAATGAGGACAGGTTTGGCTCAGGTAACCGATACGCAAATGATGAGAGCGAAAGTGAGGATGAGGCAGCTCCCAGAAGGTCAAGACATGGGGAAAGTAAGAAGCGGCGTGGTTCGGAAGGCGATGTTGCCGCAGATCACTGGGAAGCCCCTTTCACCGAAGCTTCAAATCATTGATAAAATTTACAGATGCACTTTTTTTTTTTTTTCCTTTCATTGTCAATGCTATTGGTTTACCATTTGTCGTAGTGTAACTTAACATTAGTTCTAATCAGTAGTATCAGGATAATCTGATTGCAGTGTCAAATGAGGATTTAAAGTGATGCATGGATATCATCAGAAAGCTCTTAGGTAGAAGAGAACTTGTTCTAAAGCCACCTTTCCTCTTTCCCCCAACATTTTTTTGTTGTGTATAAAGTCTGCTAAAACAATATAAACGTCATTATCCTTCAATGATGCACCGAATCTTTTTCCTGCATCAAATTCTTGCCATAAAGCTTGTTCTGTATATGACCATATGTTTCATTTTTACAAGGAACCTGCAATGCAGTAATGTATAATTGTTTGTGTATATCAGACTGCAAATTCTGTATATTAGAAGTGTTTTGATTTCTTGTTTTTTGTTTTTTTACCTGTTTTGATTTGAGATATGATTTAAATATGTTTTGATGACTAATATTTGATATGACTTCCAAGTTTTATAGCCGAAGTTACAGTAGTTTGGATTTATGTTTTATTCGTTAAAATAAGATACGACCATCCGACACAGCGAAGTGAGCCTGCACGGCACGCAGAAGCAAGCTACGGATTTACATCGGGCTTATTTCACAAGCCATGTTGATAGAGAATTAAGCTAAGTGGGCTGATGAGCGCTGTAATTCCTATAGGAAACTGGGTATAGGTTACTGAGGGCCCTTTTTGTAGAAGCTCATTAATGAAATATTAGACCTATTTTTTTAATTCTTACTATTATATATTTTCCTTTTTGTTGTGCTGATTTTTCTTTTTTTCCTAATTCTCATCTTCTTAACGCATCTATGCTGGTGCTGCTGGCGAGCTATAATCCGATGTTTATAACTACCCTTTTCGTGCTCGTTGATTCAACTCCTTAGGCTGACTTGTCTTCCTTGATGGTGGATGGAACAAGATCTTTGGTCAAGTTGATGAATGGCTTTTGCGGTTAATCGAAGATAACCGAATTATTTGTGAGATTCAAATCTGTTTTTCTTAAGCTTGGTTGTTGGTGATGCTCCTAATGCAACTGATCTTATGGGCAATGCTATTTCAAACTCATGTGAATGTTACTTTTGTTGATGGTAACTTAGAGGCAGAATATAGAAGTTTAGTAGCATTGCAGTTTCCTTGAATGGTTTGATGATGATGAGCTAAGACTCACCTTTGACATCGCACAAGGTCCAAATGCAACGCAAAATGGGATTAATCATGAGAGCTCATAGCAATTCGGTCGAGCTTAATTGTTGTTGTTTGGCTTTTGATCTTGTGGTTGTGTAAATTTTGTGTGAGATTTGTGTCATTTAGGATTATGTATTTGTAATAGTAGTGGTAGGACTCTATGATGGTTGTAAAATTTTTGGTAGGATATTTATGATGTTAAAAAGAGTTGAAGTTGTGTATTTTCTAGCTTGCCTTATCAAAGCAAAGGAGGTTATGATGGAAGCTTAGAGATACCCCCACCATCCCTAACTATCTTTTTGGTGCAAAGATCTTCACATAGTTTTGTTGCTAGAATTAAAAGTTCAGGTTGATTTAAATTAAATTTCATGTGAGAGTTCATGGAGAATGACTTGGTAGGCGGTCTCATTTTTATTTTTTTCATAAAAAGCATTATATGACTCCCATTTTATTGCAACAAAAGGAAATTACAAAATCAGGAAGGAACCCAGAAACCTAAATCTCTGTACAACTAACACAAGAAAAAAAAGTTTCATTCCCAAGAAAAGAAAAATACAACTCACAAACAGAACGCAAAGAAAAGAAAAATAGAAAACAACACAAAAACAATCAACAAATAAAACCTTCAAGGCCAACACCAAAAGCTCCTCTGGAACCAACTTGCTGATAAAAGCAAAATTACATCTCAAACCAGTTTTGGCAGCATAGTGAGCAACCATATTACCATCCTTCTTAATATGTGACCCAAAAATATTCAAATCTTTAGAAAGATCTCGAATTCTTCTGATTTAGAGAAGATGCTCCAATGAGTATTCAAGTTAAACCTGCAACATCTCCAAAGAATAAGGGAATCAACTTCAAAAACTAGATTAGTCCAACCCAATTTTTTGGCAACCAAAAGACCAAACACAACAACTTCCGCTTTTGCCGTTAAAGCCGAAACAGGAATAGCCTTATCAGCAAACCAACAAATAATAGATCCCATAAAGTCACAACAACGCCGACACTAACAGAATTAGTCTTCCAACACCCATCAGTATTAATCTTAAAAAAAGGCACTGCAGGCTTACTCCAAACTACTCGAGAGTAATTATTAGTAGAAGGAACAAAAGGTAAATTTAAATTCTGAAAAAGAGCAGTAAGAGGAGTATTGTTGCCTTTAAATCCTTTGAAATTCAAACTATTGCATAAGTAGTTAAGAATCATACTCACAGTACCCAAGATATTAGGCAACTCATCATTATGTTTAATATTGTTCCTGGTAATCCATATAAATCACAGGACAACCATAAACACATTTTGGAAAAAAACGTTACCCAAGTTGCTCCTGCCATAAAAAATCTCAGCGATAGAACTATAAGTATTCAAAGCTGCATTATTAAGAAGTTTTAGAGAAATCTGATTCCAGATATCAAGAGCAAAGACACAGTTACCAAAAATATGAAGGATAATCTCCTCTTCCATTTGACAAAGCAAGCAACGAGAAGGAAGCCTCAATCCTTTTAGTTTGAGTATATCATATGTGGGAATGATGTTATGGATAACTCTCCAAATGAAGAAAGATATAGAGGGCTTTAACCAAGGGTTCCAAATCCATTTAAGATTCGACCCCTGAAAAATCTGAAAAGATTTGGCAAAACTTTTAGAGCAAGAGTCACCCAACTTCCTCTAACTTTAGGAACATCATGCTTATCAATGGTAATAGGAAAAGAAGAAATGAATTTAGCATCATTAATATCAAGGATTTGAAGCAGGAACTCCTCGCTCAGCAATTCTCTTGCCAAAAATCCTTAACCCGTATATTAACATCAAAAGGACCCCCATAATGATCCACAAGAGCACCATTACCCATACAGTCCTCAAACCTAAAGGAAACATCACCTTATCCAAGATCCCAACAAAGTAGATTATTAGTATGTTTAGCCACTCTTAGCATTTCTCTCCAAATAAAAGTGTTAGATTTGGAGGAAGAGATAGCTAAAGGATGCTTATTAAAACAATGTTTAGTATGCATCAAAGAGGCCCAAAAAGAACAATTTTTGCGAAATCTATACCATAACTACATAAAATTGAAACAATAAAAGTAGCATTTAGAGGTGTTAAAAACCAGCCCAGAAATATTCTGAAAATTTTGAATAACATCCCAAACCTTCTTAATAGAATGCTTATTTGTATTAGTGAAGATAATCAAGTCATCAACAAAACATAAATGAGATAAACTCAACTTACCCTTATGAACATAATTCAGACTTGGGTAATTAACATACAAAACATTAAGGCTCCTCGATAAGAAAACAAAGGAAACAAAAAAGAAGCAAGGAGAAAGCAGATCCTCTTGTTTAATACCTTTTGAAGTCGTAAAGTAGCCACACTTATGCCCATTAATAAGGAATAAAAATTGTTGCTAAGAATTTTACTAACCAGATTACAGAAAGCCTCATTAAAGCCAATGACATGAAGAACATCAAGAATAAATTCCCAACGAATAGTGTCAAATGCCTTCTTAATATCCATTTTGAAAAGAACATTCCCACCTCTTCCTTTTCTATCAAAATCCATAAGAAGCTCTTGAACAGTAATGGCATTATAAAAAATATTCCAATCTTTAATAAATGCAGAGTTATTAGGTAAAATAATATCATGCAGAAAAGGATGAAGCCTCTGAACCACAATTTTAGAAATATCTTTGACACAATAATATTGATACTAATAGGACGGAAGTCATCCCAAGTAGTAGCATTACTACTTTTAGGAATCAAAACAATAGTGGAAGATTTAAAAGACCTAGGTAAATCAATACAACTGAAAAAATCTTGAATAGTCCCCACAAGCTCAGTTTTAATAACATCCCAACCATCTTTATAAAATTCAACAGTGAAGCCATTAGGGCCCGCCGCTTTTCCATCCTCCAAACAATCAAGTGTGTGCTTAATTTCATTAATGCTGGCAATACAAGTAAGGCAAGAATCATTAAGAGTATTGGAAGAATGGTACAGATTAAAATTAATCTTGGGCAGCAAATCACCGTCACTTTTGAAAATATTAGAGAAGTAGGTAATGCCATCAGCCACAATAGCATGAAAATTAGATAGAAAACTGACATCACCAAAATTGATTTGTGAAATCATATTAAGTCTTCTGTGATTTTTAATACAAGCAAGTTAGTAGGCAGAATTCTTATCCCCATTCAAGAAATGAATTTTAGCAGCTTTCTGAGTAAGAAAAAACTCCTCTATAGTAATTGCTTTATTAAAGTCTTGTTGACCTTTAAGGAGAGCCTCCCAATCAATAATACTATTAGCAAAATTAATTTCCAGAGTCTTAAATTTTTCCTCCAAGTCCTCAATGACACTATTAATTTTCCCAAATATATCCCAATTCCAACATTTGAGATCTTTGACAAGATTTCCTTGTAAATGCCACATCTTATACCCATCATTGCCAGTAATTCCATTTATCACGCAGAAATTGTTTATAGTTATCATGACGAAGCCACACATTAAAGAAAAAAAATTGGTAAGGAGCATTAGACAAAGCCTCTTTAATTTTTAGAAGAAGGGGAGCATGATCGAGGCAGAGATTGTCAAGTGATGAACCTCATAATGACAACCATATTGGTCCACAAAGCTTTAACAACAAATCTGTCAAGCCTTTCAAAAAACACATTACTTCTATGCTAGTTAAAAGGATTCCCACGAAAGCCCATAAAAAAACCAACATTCATAAGAACATGATTAAAAATATTAATGAGGCTAAGATTAGGAGCCACACCACCTTATTCTCCACAGCAAACGAGATGATATTAAAATCACCCCCATGAGTCAAGGTTCATTGCTAGGATTAATAGATAAGAACAAATTCCAAAGCTCCAATCTCATTTTCTTGGTATAACCAACATAAATAATAGATAAAAGAAAAGATTCGTCATGAATATGCACTCTAACATGAAGCATTTGATTATGATTGATAAGAATATCAATCTTTAAGAGATCTTCCAAAAAAACCAAATCTTGTTGTTAAGATTAGCAAAAGATTTAAAAGAACCAAACTTCTTCATGTATTTATTATTATTCTTGATAGAGACAAGAGACTCAAGAATGCTAAAAAATTGTAACTTATAAGTACGAACTAATCTCTTTAGTCTCATAGAGGGAATA